AGAGTGGGTCACTGAATGAGTACCTCCTACAGTCAAACCGCAGCAGCAAGAGAAGGGAGAGGAGAGGGAGACCGGGATGAGGGAGGGGGAGGACTACGGGCTTACACTTGGGGCTTTACAATGGCTGACGGTGGACACCTAGGCCCTGATCACCTGACACCTACCATGCATGAACACCAGTCCCTGGACACATAACTCAATATGGGAGAAGTGCTATGTGCGCTTGCACTTGGGGCTTGGCTTTGGCGGGAAGCAGTTGGATGAGTATCTGTAGAGCAGAAATGGGGGGAGGAAACACGGGAGGGCACGGAGGAGAGAGGGGTTGGAGGGGTGTATCAGGTGAGGTGCCTCAAAAGGTAATGAAACAACTGCGCCAATAGATGGAGTGGGAAGCGTACGTAAAACGAATCAGCAGGGCTCAGAGACGCTCTCAGCAGGGCTGGCTAAAGGTGGCGTGGCGTGAATCAGGCGGGCTTTCTTGCTACGGTAGCAGCTTGGCTTGTTTCCCTAGAATCATCCAGAGCTTTTTGTTTGAGCAGCACACACTTCATCTCATCCTCCCTCTCAGCCCTCTCTTGCAACCGCCTGCCTCCCAGAGCACACTCAAAGGCGCTGTCCCAAGAATCCCCTGAGAAATCACCTGAAGTCAATATGAAAAAATATGAAATAAATTTCAAAATTTAAAGATTATGACAATACACGTAAAGGAGAATGCAGTAAGGAGTCTATCGCTCCTTATATTGTGGCAGGTTTACGGACCTGCCACCTAGTCCAAAAATCATTTATAGATCTAGTTTAGAACAGCACACCTACCTAAACCTTGCACCCTTTACTACTACTCATCCGCCATTGCTACTAAGATTATCCTGACCCTCGTTTCACTCCACATGACGAGATCGTCACTTCTTGAGGTTGATGCGGTGGCGAGTTTACAGTACTTGTGCAGGGCAAATCGCGAATTACGTTAGTAGTGAGACGCTGGTGCGAATGGCGAGATTTCGGCATGCTATTGCTGTCTGCGCCTTGGGGCTGCTGCTGATGTTACGAGACCCTGCTATTGCTGATGCTATGCAACCGCTGCTTCTCACGCACTGTCATTAGTGTTGACGTGCGGCCTGCCGTTCCTCCCACGCGATCTGGTGCTGCCGCTACGAGATCTGGTACTGTCGCTGCGCGATCTGAGGTCGGTGCTCGCGATCTTCTCCTGTTACGAAATCTGCTGCCGGTGCTAGCGATCTGCTGCTTTGCTCACGATTTGCTGCTGCAGCCTCGAGATTTGCTGCTGGTGCTCACGATTTGCTGCTGCAGCTTCGAGATTTGCTGCTGGTGCTCACGATTTGCTGCTGCAGCTTCGAGATTTGCTGCTGGTGCTCATGATTGCTGCTGGCGCTCGCGAATCGCTGCTTGCGCGCGAGATTTCCTGCTGACGCGGAGATATGCTGCTGGAGCCCGAGATTTGCTCCTAGCGCGCGAATTTCTGCTGCTGGAACGCTAGATTCTGCTACTGGCGTGCGAGATTTGCTGCTGGCGCGGAGATCTGCTGCTGGCGCGGAGGTTTGCTGCTGGCGCTCGAGATTTGCTCCAGGCGCGCGAGATTCTGCTGCTGACGCGCTAGATTTTGCTGCTGGCGCGCGAGATCTGCTGGTGTAGCTGCGCGATCTGCTCCTGCTGCGAGATCAGCTGCTTTCCCTCGAGATTTGCTGCTGGTGCTCGAAATCCGCTGCTGCTGCTGCGATATCTGCTGGTGGTGCAGCGCGATCTGCTGCTACTGTCGTGCGATCTGCTGCGGGTACTATCTAGATCGCCACTAGTGGTGCTGCAGTGGCTGGTGGGGACAGCAGTGAAATTTCGAGCTGCTTCTGCTGCTGGTGCTGCACTAAGCACAATATCGCTATTGGTGACAAGACAGGAATTGTGGTGACACGAGGCCGATTAAGATCATGATATTTTTCCATTTCTGGCCGATTAAAGCGGCAGTATACATTTGGCAGGGCCGTTGGAGGGTTTAGGGTTCCCAAAACGATTTCGCCCCAGCAGAAGTACCATTTATAAACTTTTGGCTCAGGCCCTGCGATGGCCGTATTAAGGCCACGGGCCTATGAAGATTATGATATCAAAATATTATGGCCTTGAAATTATGACCCTATCCAAGGGAGAGATCAAGAAACTGGCATGATTGTCGAATATAATGTTACAAGAGGTTATGCAACGCATACGATTCTATGCATAAATCAATGTTCATTGGAAATAAAAGCTTGGTATTTTGGCCATTTGCTAGGGCTACGTTTTGTGATACGCCCCTTCCCCTTCATAGGGTGCTGAGCTGAGCATTTTATCAAGCTTTAAATTATCCACACAAATGTTGAGATACGGTATATTTCTGTTTGAAATGAAGTTTCCGCATGTTGTGCTCCTTGACAAACGTGCACTGCACGAAAAAGTTGTCAATAATTGCCGCTCGTATTTGCGTTTACGCTCATTCGGTGAGATTCACTTGACTGAAAAAAAAAAAAAAAAAAAAAAAAAAAAAACAACGGTCGGCCGATAGAGCCCTGTCCAGCTCTAATTTGCCCTATATGGCTCTGAGGAACCTATATCAACCACCGTAGAGGTTCTCCCCAGGCCTCTGGTGGATGTCCTTCTGGGACATATGAATATCGCGTGTTTACGTGCTCCTTTTCCAGGATGCTGGCTAGCTCAGCCATATTTCTAGATAGATCTATGAAAGTGCTTTGCACATTGATTACGATCAACATATAACCTTGACCTCTATGGCTTTGCCACTATTGTACTTTGATAGTTATGTGTTTTGCACTGATGTGGCTAAAACATCATGGTTGTACCAATCATTTGGCACTACGCAGTTTTTTTGTCGCGATTCTAAGTGCGTAATCAAGTTCTAAGTTGTTGGTCGAGTGAGTGAGACCAATTGTTCAGAAAAATGAAGTTCTTCCATAGCTATGTTGCAGTCGCGCACAGCTTGGCCAACATACTTGTTGTGGTCAATTACTTGTGTTCCTACCCTATTTTAACAATTGCAAATGCGGTAACGGCAGTCACGGAACTGTGGGACACGTTTAATTCACCATTACTATATTGTCAATCATACAACGACGCTTCTACGTTGAGATTGCTGATGTTTGGCAACCTATAACTGTGCAAAAGGTTGCATTTCGGCACATTCTTATAGTGGGCACGGGCCTAGCGGCGGAATCGTCACCAAGGTTCTTGTTGTCATATTGGGCTCTCGAGCAGCATGCGTGGATACATGCTCAATGGTACGACTCCATATCTACATTCCGTTAAGGAGACAAGTCGCCAATTTGGATATTTGAAACCGGAATGGTAATTGATCATCCTCCGATCAGATGTTTAACATCCGCTCAAATCAAGTTGCGTACCTAAACGGAGAGTGTCACTGAGGCACTTGGTGTGCGAGATCACGATGAGTCCATTTTTCAACGTCTTACAAACCAGGTTGTCACATGTATGTCAGAGGTCCACTCGAGATCCCCGATTGATCCTAGGGAAGGGTTACAGGCACGTTGGCCTAGGGGGTTATGGACGCACTGACCCGCTACTTATCAAGCCCTTTTATCCCAATGGTCTAGTGGTTGGGATTCTGACAATGTAAGCCGCCACATGGACGCTGTTAACAGCCGCTCCTTGAGCACACTGCCATGGAAACAACGTGGTGAATCATGCGCGTAATATCACATGTTCATAGTACATCATCTATTGTCACTGTATGCAACGAAACAGGTCCCGCCTTATATTCATGGTTGGGGGAAAGGGGATGCGTATTACGCCCATGCAAATGTATGATGCCCCATTATGAAGCATTATTGATATCTAAGGTTGAGATGCCTATATGTCATGCGTAATCACCTGCATAGCATGCTACCCATTCGATATTGATCATTGGAGTGCGACAATGGCACGATCTCATCTTCAGGGTTCCTCAATCTCCTCACCCTTTGTGAGCAGAGTTACTTTACTCACTAGGGTGCTAACATCAATAGTGCACTCGAACGACCACTCCTATCTTGCAAAAGCCATGTACATGCTTGCCACAGGCTTGAAATCACATTCCTATCTCATCGTGCTATTGCACACTGTTGGCATATTGTCAGTCTCGCCCACATGGTTACATGCTGTATACTTGCGTATCAATGGCCAACAACTTCGAAAGTGGAAAAAGAGGTTCGAGATTCTCTGGCGGGATGGATGCCCCCCTCACTGCTGCTGACTCAACACCATAATTCTTGGCACAGTATATGAAATCGTGCTAAGCTCTTACTAGTGCCTCATACTTCGTCACCCCGTCGTTTTTATCTTCGGAACATCTCTACCTTCCGTTAAGAAGCGTACGGCATCCTTCATAGGAAATCATTCCCGTACCTAATGTCTCGTGTTACCTATGACGACTGCTCTGCATACTCTTTGAAGAGTATTGTCTTAATATGAAAAATTATGAAATAAATTTCAAAATTTAAAGATTATGACAATACACGTAAAGGAGAATGCAGTAAGGAGTCTATCGCTCCTTATATTGTGGCAGGTTTACGGACCTGCCACCTAGTCCAAAAATCATTTATAGATCTAGTTTAGAACCCACCCCCCCCTCCCATATAGATTTATATTCATTGATACATAGTTTGGATACCTACAATTTCTCTTTGTTATTTTACTTTGTAATATGCAATCTAGTGTGCTGTACGATAAGATCTGAAATGCTATGATGACTGCTCACGATGACGACTGCTCTGCATACTCTTTGAAGAGTATTGTCTTAATCTGGCGGTTAAGAGGCATTTTTTGGCACGGCACCACTGAGGTAGTCGTCAATCACTTAAAGCCACTCTCTCAAGTCTCACCCACAGCCATTCTTTCCGGCCTCCTCTGAAAGTTCACCTGAAATCAATCTGGCGGTTACCAGGCACCTTTGGCACGACGCCACTGAGGTAATTTCCACTAAAGCCGGGTCTCTCAAGTCTCACTTACTTGAAGTCAATCTGGCGGTTACCAGGCACCTTTGGCACGGCGCCACTGAGGTAATTTCCACTCACGTCGCTGAAGTGGCAGGGGAGAGGAGGGGAGGGAGAGGGGAGAAAAGCCGAGGGGAGCGGGGGACGGGAGGGAGGGAGGTAGGGTGACTTAGGAATGAGTATAGAGGGAGGTGACTTAGGTGAGTTAGGGAGGTTACCTACCTACCCACAGATGGTGTTGCGTGACTCACATGTTGCTGTATGATTTGCAAAGTGACTGGAAAATTGCACTGCAAAGTGGCACCGAGGGGAGTGAGGTTAGGTTGAATAGACGCTGCATATAGTTTTTGAGAATTCTCAAAAACTCCCTGAGACGCTGCATATAACAAAGAGTGAATCCAAACGGAAGTGATTCACAGAACCATGCAGTTCAGTCAGGGGTTGACATTGACACACTCGAGTAGCGCCTAGGAAGCGAGGACGCGGGATCCGGTCCGAGTCACATCACATCGTTGCATTGGCACATGGCTGGCCTGGGACACTGTGGCAGACAGGCAGGCTCGGACGGAGCCGCGTGAAGATTTCTGAGACGTTTCAGAAAAATATAGACGGTTCAACACACGACACAGAGTGGCAGGTAGGCAGGGCAGACTCACAGGTGCGTGAGCGCCTTGGGAGCAAAGAGCTGGGCAGCAGGGGGGGCAGTGTGGGGTCCAGTCCTGCCCAGTCCTGTCCAGCAGGGGGGGGGGCAGTGGACTGGACCCCACAGGAAATTGAGTAAAGCGAACCTCGGCTGCCCAGCTCTTCGCCCAAGAGATTGGGAGTTTGGAGGCGCCTCAAAACTAGCGAGTAAAGCGAACCTTGGCAGACTGATGCAGACTCACAGGTGCGTGAGTGCCTTGGGAGCAAAGAGCTGGGCAGCAGGGGGTAGTGGGCCCCACAGGAAGTTGTTGTAGAGAATGCTGGTGAGGGGGATGAGGGGAGAAGATGAGGGGGGAGACGGGGAAAGGGAAGATAGGGGGCAAAGCATGAAGAGCTGGGAATCAGGCGGTAGTGATCCCCACAGGAGGTTGTTGTAGAGAATGCTGGTGAGGGGAGGAGGGGAGAAGATGAGGGGGGAGACGGGGAAAGGGAAGATAGGGGGGAAAGCGTGAAGAGCTGGGAATCAGGCGGTAGTGATCCCCACAGGAGGTTGTTGTAGAGAATGCTGGTGAGGGGAGGAGGGGAGAAGATGAGGGGGGAGACGGGGAAAGGGAAGATAGGGGGGAAAGCGTGAAGAGCTGGGAATCAGGCGGTAGTAATCCCCACAGGAGGTTGTTGTAGAGAATGCTGGTGAGGGGAGGAGGGGAGAAGATGAGGGGGGAGACGGGGAAAGGGAAGATAGGGGGGAAAGCGTGAAGAGCTGGGCAGCAGGCGGAAGTGGCCCCCACAGGAAGTTGTTGGAGAGAATGCTGACGGGAGGGAGGGGGGGTGAGGGGGAGATGGGGAGGCGATGGGGGGGAAGGGGAAGAGATGGAGAGAAGTGGAGTGAATCGTGTGCTGTGCCCTGGGAGCAAAGAGCTGGGCAGGAGGCGGTAGTGGGCCCCACAGGAGGTTGCTGGAGAGAATGCTGATGGGGGGGATGAGGGGAGAAGATGAGGGGGGAGAGATGGGGGGGAGGTGGGGGGAGGGAAGGTGGGGGAAAAGCGTGAAGAGCTGGGCAGCAGGGGGTAGTGCCCCCCACAGGAAGTTGTTGTAGAGAACGCTGATGAGGGGGAAGGGGGGGGGTTGCGGAGAAATGGGGAAGATATGGGAGGGAAGGGGGTAGGGGGAAGAGCTGGGCAGCAGGGGGTAGTGGGCCCCACAAGAAGTTGCTGTAGAGAATGCTGATGAGGGGGATGAGGGGGAGGGAAGTAGATGGGAAGGGGAGAAGATGGGGGGAGAGATGGGAGCAAGCACCAACGCCACTCATATGTCTGAGATGCGTGGCAGGGTGAGCAGCAAAGAGGGGAAGCGGCCGCGCATGCGAGCGGCCTATGCCACAAAGTGCTTCGGAGACCCATGCCCGCCCATGCCCTCCCATGCCCTCCCATGCCCGCCCATGCCCTCCCATGCCCTCCCATGCACAGTCCCACGCACGCACACACCCATACACCCATACACAATCAGCCAGTGCCTCCTCTCACATGTCTGAGATGCGAGGCAGCTTGAGCAGCACAGAGGGGAAGCGGCCGCGCATGCGAGCAGCCGACGCCACAACAGAGACCCATGCCCGGCCATGCCCAGCCCATGCACAGCCAGACACACAGCACCACACACACAGTCCCACACACAGAGTCCCACACACACAGCACCACACACACAGTCCCACACACAGAGTCCCACACACACAGCACCACACACACAGCCCCCCACACACAGCACCACACACACAGCCCCACACACACAGCCCCACACACACAGCCCCACACACACAGCCCCCTACACAATCAGCAATGCCACCACTCACATGTCTGCAATGCGTGGCAGCTTGAGCAGCACAGAGGGAAAACGACCTCGCATGCGAGCAGCGTTTGCGACGAAATGCTTGAGAGACACCATGCCCGCCCATGCTGCCGGCACCGCCCCTCCCAGGTTCAGCTTCTGCAGATTGCTGTAACGAGGCGAGGGAAGAGGAAAGGAGGGGGAGGAAAGGAGAATAAGGCAAGCAGCGGCTTCAGTGGCTTGAGAGACACCATGCCCGCCCATGCTGCCGGCACTGCCCCTCCCAGATTCAGCTTCTGTAGGTTGCTGTGAAGGGGAATGGTGGGAGGGAGAGGGGGGAGGGGGAAGAGGGGGTGGGGTGGTGGTTGGGTGGGGATGGAGGGAAGCAGGGAGAGAAGAGGTGTTGGTGAAGCAGCAAGAATGACCCCGGGAGCACCTAGCAGTAAGAACCTCACTGGGTTCAGAAACACCATGCACACTGGCAATGTTTTTACCTATGCTCCCGCCCATATGCGTGGCGGTGGGAGTGACAGTGACATCAGCAAGTCGGCAGTTACATCAGCACGGCAACAGTGACATCAGCAAGGCAACAGTGACATCAGCAAGGCAACAGTGACATCAGCAAGGCAACAGTGACATCAGCAAGGCGACAGTGACATCAGCGAGGCGGCACAAGGAGCTGATGGGGCTATCAGGCTAGGGGGGTTTCTGCAGTTTACACTCACAGCGTCTGGAGCTTCTTGAGATTACCCCAGCTTGCAGGCATGGGCCCTTTAAACGCGTTTCTACCCAAGTCCCTGCTTCCACAGCACCAAAGGGGCATGACAGAAGGGAGGCAGAGGGAGAATTTAGGCGCCTCTAAATTACCCCAGCTTGCAGGCATGGGCCCTTGAAACCTGTTTCCACAGCACCAAAGGGGCACGGCAGGGGGGAGATAAGGGGTAGCCAGGGAAAGGAAATTGGGAGGTAGAGCGGAGGTAAAGGGAAGGGACATGGAAAGAAGGCTAAAGTGAGAGGAATTGTGTGAGGAATTGTAGTGAGTGAAGTCTCCTTCCTTGCCGTAGCAATGACACTGGAAACATTTACACTGGAAGCAGTCACACTGGAAGCAGTCACACTGGAAGCAGTCACACTGGAAGCAGTCACACTGGAAGCAGTCACACTGGAAGCAGTCACACTGGAAGCAGTCACACTAGAAGCAGTCACACTAGAAGCAGTCACACTAGAAGCAGTCACACTAGAAGCAGTCACACTAGAAGCAGTCACACTAGAAGCAGTCACACTAGAAGCAGTCACACTGGACGCAGTCACTCTCGAAGCAGTCACACCAGCAGCAAGGTGCCTCACAGTGCTCTCAGCTGTCTCTTGTTGCCACGCCCAGTCAGGCAGCAGCACGCCTCACAGTGCCCTCGGCTTGAAAAGCCGGTGCTACACTCAAAGCCAAGGCCCCACACTGGAAGCAGTCACACACCAGCACCAAAGAGCCTCACAGTGTTCTCAGCTGTCTCAGGTTGCCCAGCCCTGGCAGCAGCGCGCCAGTCATCTGGTTGTGAGGCGCTTGGAACAAAGGCGTTACACTCCAATACACTCCAAGGCCTCTCACTGGAGAAATCACAGTCACACCAGCAGCAAGGTGTCTCACTCACAGTGTTCTCAGCTGTCGCAGGTTGCCTAGCCCGGGCAGCAGCGTGCCAGTCATCTGGTTGTAGGAGACAGCGAGCGATGTGAGGGCGGTGAGGGTGGCAACGCCAGGTGGGATGGGCCCTGTGATGCGATTCATGCTCACGTCGCTGCACACATGGGAAGAGTGGGTGGAGGGCGTGGGAAGGGATTTCTTTGATGAGGGCGGTGAGGGTGGCAACGCCAGGTGGGATGGGCCCCGTGATGCGATTCATGCTCACATCGCTGTGGAGGAGGGAAGAGCAGAGGGGTTGGGAAGGGATTCCTTTGATGAGGGTGGCAATGCCAGGGGGGATGGGCCCCATGATGCCATTCACGCTCACATCACTGTGGAAGAGGGGCGGTGTGAGGAGAAAGGCGGGGGTGTTGGGTTGGGGTGGGGAGGAAGAGAGTTGGGAAATCGTTTAGGTTGGCGAGGCCTGAGAAGTCGGGTTGGTGAGAGGTGGCGTGGTGTGGTGTGGTGTGGTGTGGTGTGGTGTGGTGTGGTGTGGTGTGGTGTGGTGTGGTGTGGTGTGGTGTGGTGTGGTGTGGTGTGGTGTGGTGTGGTGTGGTGTGGCGTGGTCTGGCGTGGTGGAGCCACGTGGGGGAGGGCCCTGTGATGCGGTTCCTGCCCATGTCAGAGGATAGGAATACAGGTTCTGGAGGGATTTCAGAGAGGAGAGTGTGTTGGGGATGTCAAGGCAACGACCATGGTGGGCAAAGGGTGTGTGGAGAGGGATGGAGAGTAGCGGATAGGCGTAGAGGTTGTGAAGGGGTTTCAGAATGGATAGCGTGTCGGGGATGGGGTCAACCACCCTGTTGGCCAACTCTTGCACTGAAGAAGGCCTAGTGGGTATGATGTAGGTGCGAAGCCGAAACATGTAAGCGTGTTGGACCAGCAACGTACAGCTTCTGGAGGGACTTCAAAGCGGAGAGGGTGTTGGGGATGGGTCCGACCATCCTGTTGTCCATGAAGTTGCTGCGAGCATGCGCACATGCAGCACATGCAGCACATGGCACATAACCAGCAGCGATTGCCATACCACATCGCATAGCATAGCATAGCATCACATCACATCACATCACATCACATCACATCACATCACATCACATCACATCACATCACATCACATCACATCACATCACATCACATCACATCACATCACATAATTCATCAGCATACACAGAAGAGAGACATGCCTTGTACTTCGGTTATAAAGATAGGAGCATGGGAGCATGCGGGCATGGGAACATGGGATCATGGGGACGTGGGAACATGGGATCATGGGGGGATCATGGGGACATGGGAACATGGGACGAACGTGGAAACTTGACACTATAACATGCGAAAATGGAAACACGGAAACATGTAAATACTGGAGCACGAGATAAACCATGTTCACATTCATGCAGACTCACATTTGCTTGAGCTTGGGGAATCGGAAGATGGTGGGCGGCAGCACGGGCCCGGACACTTCATTCCCCGCCACGCTCACGAGAAGGAGGTTGGAGAGAGCTCGCATCTTGCCCCACGGTATTATGCCTCGCAGGGGACCAGGCTTGCGGCCGCGGGCAAAGGCTGGGTCTTTGGCCACCATATATGCGTTGTCTACGTAGCTGCGAGTATGTGCATATGAGAGCATGGAAGCGAGAAAGGCGATGCATGTGGGTGCATGGAAGGGAGAAAGGCGATGCACTGATGTTTCGCCAAGTAATGAGCTTCCGAAACTGCACGCACGGCTTGGTGGTCTCGTATGTCATTCAAACCCAGCGACACATTGGCCCAGCTTTGAGAGGTCTCAAAACACTCACTCACATAGCATTGATTCGGCCTTCCTCGTCGCAAGTAATGAGCTTCCAGAACTGCACGCACGGCTTGCTTGTCTCGTACGTCATTCCCAAGGACACGTTGGCCCAGCCGCCGTACTTTAAGAATATTGGATGGTTCCCGAAGGCCGCTGCGAACGCCAGCAGTGCTGCCTCTGCACCATGATTGTGTGGGGTGGTTGAAAAAGGTAATGAGTCGACTCAAACTTACTCGGCGAATATTGGATGATAGCATCGAGAAGATTGTTCAAAAACTTTTGATATTCAAGTCAACTTTGGGACCACGTGACCCAAATGGCTACAAGAAAATCCTGCTTACTCTCAGCCATGGCGATTTTCTGGGGGGTGCCGAACCCAGGGATGGGGACGAGTTCGGGGGGATAGTCATAATCGCCTTGCGCCTCACAGCCAGGCATCAGCCTTGCTTGCAGAAGCAGCAGCAGTAGCGACAGCAGCGTCAGCGCGTCCGTCGCGAGTGGCGGCGCCCACGAGAGCGCGGAAGTGCGGCGTCGCAGACCCATGATGACGAGCCGCTGGATTTGACGAGGCTGCGATGATGAGTCGGACCCTTGACACGCGCCGCGCAGCGGGGAAGCGCGAACGGTTTGCGGTTTTGACGATCGTCAAGAAACGACCTCGAGAAGCCTTTTGACTGTAAAGTATATTATAGCGTATCGCTTTGCTGTAGAAAGAGGGTCGAAAGTGCTGGCTGGACTATGCCATAGTTAGCTTACTGGTACTAGCATAGAAAAGATCACAAACCATAAAATGTGCTGGAAGGATGCAAGTGAATGGGAGTAGAGCAGACGGAGAACCAGCCCAGCCTACCCACTCAGCCACCAGCACATGTTTGTCCACTGGGCGTACTATGCGGTTTCGTAACTTTCGATGCGGTAATCAGTGATTCTCGAGCTTCACTGCATTCCGACCGAACCGCACCGAACAATGAGAGATCTGCCTTGTTGGCGTTGACGAACTTGACTCCTCGACAGAATGGGATCCATGGAAGATCTGCTGCGTTGGCATGAAGAGCGGATATATTGCCCAGCTTGACTACCAGAACACCAGGCACCATCGCAATAGAGTTGATCAAGTTGTTATTCAGCAACTCATGTTATTCAAGAAAAAAACATCAAGTCAGAAAAATTGCGCTTTCTATTCCTAACATGTCGCCTCTATGACCTCATGTACTAAAGCTTGTTCAAATCTCCTAGTCACTCTGCAGCTGCATAGACCAGCAGTCACACATACAGGATCTACCACGTATCTACCACAACCATCTGAATTTGCACTTCCATTCTGTGCCAACTTCCTACTTTCAACCAACCGTAATTGTCCTCGCTGCTGCGACCTCTGCTCCCCCTCTCTTCCGTTCCATCCACCGCTTGTTCCAATTGCTCCTCCCCATACAGCTCCAGCAATATCTATCAACCAATCACTCAAGCCTCCACATCTGGTGACCCCTCAGCTTGACCGGCCCCACTCACCCCAGCACCACCACCCGGTTCTGTTCCTCCTCCCGCTCCTCCTGCCATGCCTCCTGCCGTGGCCCCTCCTCTCGTCGTCGGCGTCTTGGCGAGCGTCCGTCCATACAGCCCAAACTTCTCCCTCACCTTATCCGTCCCGGTCACGTACTCGGCAAACGTGAACACGCGGTTACGTGACGACAGGAGAGAGGGGCCTGCGTGCTTGGAAGGGGCTTTCCTCTCGCTGTAGCACGTGGCGCAGAGGTCGAAGCGCGACTTGGTCTCGCGGTAGCGCAGCCCGACGATGGCGTACCGGCACACGTCGCACGACATGCCCAGGTGCCGGGTACGATCGTAAACCTCCAGCTTGCGCAGGGTGTAGAGAATGGGGAAATACTGCAGCAGGGGAGAGAGGGAAGTGTTTGGAAGGGGGGGGAAAAGGAGTTGCGGGTTGTTTTCAGGATAGGTAAATCAATCACAGCACACAACGGGCAGAACGTATGCATAGATGATACAAGCACATGCACACAACCACTGGAACACCCACAAGCATTATCAACTCACATCATCCACGAGGGTCTCAAACTGCTCCAGCCCCACGTCTGGCACGCCCTCCTCGCCGCCCTTGTCCTCATCGGGCATGGGCGGCTGCCCCGGCAGGTAGATCTCGCGCACCAGCTGCACAAACCCCACCGCGTCGCGCCGCATGATCTTGCCCACAGTGCCCTCCGGCCGCCCCCGCCGCCACTGCAGCGCCTCAAACGCCACCAGCTTCCTCTCCGGCACCGCCCCGTCGCACAGCAGCGCCACGATCGCCAGAAACAGCCCCAGATCAACGGCTGCCGCGGCCGCGCCGCCGCCGGTTTCGACGGCGGAGATGACCTTTTCGTTGAGGGCGCGAACGGCCTGCTGGAACGTCTCTGGGGGGAGGGCTTCTGGGAGCATCTGGCGCAGCAGCAGCTCGATGGCTGCCTTTCGCACCATGCGCTCGCGCGGGGCCGCTTCAAAGTTGGCCTCTGAGAGCTCGGCGCGCAGCGCTGCCACCGGCACCTTGGACAGGCGCGTGTGGCGCTGAGGAGGGTTGGCGCGCGGAGGGAGCAGAGGGGAGGGGGAGTGAGAGACTGAGGGCCCATCAGGGAGGGAGCAGGGGGGACGGAGTTAGAGATTGAGGGGCCATAGTGAAGACACCAATTCATGAGTGCAGTGCTGCTTACTGGGAACTCACGACTGCCGTTCACGTGAGCGGAGAATGGGGGACAGGACGGGATAACCACAATAACCATCTCAATTCTCACCTGGTAGGCGCGGACGTCGAGCGCCACGGCCAGCTCCGTGGGATTGCACACCGTGGGGCCGCTGCCCTTCATTTTCGCTGGATCCAACACCACGAAGCTCCCCTCCACCGCGCCCCCTCCCGCCCCCTCCCCTCCCCTATCCGGCAGCTTCGCGAGCGCGGAGCTCATCTTCTTATTCTCCTTGTACAGGCGCTTCAGCTGCTTCACCGCATCGTATAGCTCCACGCGGTTCGTCAACTTATACGCCGCCTCCAACTCCCGCTGCGCCGCCTCCCCCTTTCCGCCGCCCAGCAGCGACACGGCGCGGTTCAGCTGCGCCTGCCAGTGCCCCGGGCTGAGCGCGAGCACCTTGGAGTAGGTGTCGACGGCCGCGTCGAACTGGCCCGTATCGCGCAGAAGCCCCGCGTAATTGTAAAGTGCGTCGACGTGGTCCGGCGCCAGGCTCAGCGCGCGCTCGAACGCCTGCCCCGCGCGCACGTCGTCCCCCAGCGCGTGCAGCGTCGATCCCAGGTCGCAGTGTGCGTCGGCGTATCTGGTACGCGGGAACGGGAAAGTAGAGAAAGATGGGGGGGCAGGGACGGGGTAGGAATAAGATGAGAAAGGAGTGAAGATGAGCACATCAAGTTAAGAATAGCGTGGTTTTTTATTTAGGTCCCGCATTACACGACCACCTACGCTTTTCAAATCCAGGGTTAATTGCGTTCAGTAGCTCCTGCATGCCCATCCCTAACATGCCATGTGTTTCTAACGCTCGCTTGCATGTAAGAGTCACTCGCTAGCACTCACTCAAAGTCCAGGCAACAGCACTCACTTGGGGTCCAGATACAGCGCATTCTGCAGCGCCTCCTCCGCCTCGCGGTACTCGCCGAGCCCGTAGAGCGCGCTGCCGAGCAGCTTCATGGCGTGGTGGTGGTGCGGATTAAGCATGCCCGCCTCGCGGTAGTGGTCGCACGCGTTCATCAGCAGGCCCTCCGCCTCCATCGCTATACCCAGATTCACGTGCACCTGGATCGGGGATGAAGGAAGCGGCAG